TGGAATGAATGTAAAACTAAAGTTCTCTCCTGTAAAATATCATATAATTCACAATGAAACATGAAAAAAAAAAAAAGTTTTAGGCTGAGGGGAAAGTCATAAATGCACCCTTGTCTTTACTTTTTCATCAGAGGTGAATCTTTGTCCCTGAAGGGCTGCTTTCAGGAAACCAAACAGGTGAAAGGCCCATGGAGCACGATCAGAACTATAGGGAGGATGTTTTAACATCTCAAAATGAAGTGTTTGCAGGGTGTCAACAGTGTACTCAGAGGTGTATGGACATGCATTGTCATACAAGATCACAATACATTTGGATAGCAGTCCTCTGTTTAATCTGAAGTTTAGGCTTCAGTTCTTCAGTGAGCATCTCACTGTAACAAGCACTGTTGATTGTTGAACCTTTTTCCTGATAATACTGGCCCTTGAGAATACCAGAAAAATGTTGTCGTTTGTTTTGTTGTTAAGTGTCATGGAGTCAGTTCCAACTCATAGTGACCCTGTATAGGGTTTTCAAGGAGAGACAGGTGAGTTTGAACTGCCAACCTTGTGGTTTAAACCAACCTTGCAGTCCAGTACTTTATCCCACAGTACCACACCAGGACTCCCTTGAGAATCCCAGAAAACTACAAGCTTGACAAGGTTGACTTTTGAACATTTTCTTGGCTGGCAATTGAAGATGTTTCCATTCTATACTCTGCAGTTTGCTCTTAGGCTTCTAGTGAGGAATCCATGTCTTGTCACCAGATTTCTTTAAAGAAACTTTTACCTTCCTTTGAGTATCAGTCCAAATTGTGTTTGCAGACATTCACACACTGCTATTTATGCTCTTGCGTGAAGTGTTGCAGTACCCATGTTGCACAACCTTTTCGAAACCCAAGTCTGTTGTAGATTTTCAAATGATTTGTCACATAATCCACTGTCACTTGTTTATTCAACAGAATCATTTCACGGGCACACTCAATATTGTCATCAGCCATGGACATGGAGGACAGGCATTTAACATAACTGGAGTGTGGATAGTTTTTGACTCACCTTCATATGTGAGCAGTCCCATAATACTGCTAAGCCATGAGATTCCTGACTAGCAGCTGGAATATGAGACTAGAGAGGTGAGGATAGGGTCAGGCAATGGGAGGACCGGACTTTATCCTAAGCAACGTGGGCTTTATTCTGATGGCAAGGAAAAATTACTGTAGGATTTTAAGTTGAAGTGTTATAGTATTGTATCCAAGTGGATAACAAAGTTAGTATATCTTTAGGGAGAATAATCCTATAAACAAGACAATCAGTTAGAAGGAAGCATCACTTGTCCAGGGGAAGAATGAAGAGTCTGAAGGAAGAGAATGGGATGTAGAGTTGGGAATAAAGATAAAGAATGAAAACACTTAATGTCATGGAGCCGAAAGGAGATGCAAGAAAGATAAAAGGATAAAAACTTAGGGCTTCCTGAACATCTATTGAAGACTCGGAAGGCCTGAGCATACTTTAATATAAAAATTAGTTTGGGGGTAATTATTTAAAATATGTGTTGAAATGTGCACAACACATACCTTTGTACCTGTTAGATCAGTTGTTCTAGTACTGTGTCTGCACTTAGTGTCAATGTTAGCTTCTGAAGGGTACAGGGCAAAAACCTCTGCTAGGAAGAAAATTCACAGGAGAATTGCCCACATGCTGCCTTTCTGAAGTGAAAAGCTTTGTGAAAGAATGAGGCTGATAGTCTTATTTTGTAATGTTAGTGGTTACATTGGATTGTAGAAGATGAGATTTGTAACCCAATTCACAGTTAACACCCTCATGGGTAACAGGCACCTTCCACACATCCTCAGCAAAATTTTAAATCTCAAACCAGCTTCACTAGCATGTCTTAGTTTCTTGGCTGCCATAAACTGGCAGACAAATTTCCCTTTTGAGCCTAGTTATAGTATTTAGAATGGTGTGTGGCGGGGAAATAGTAAAACCATCCCTGCTGCTGTGTTGATCATTTCACATCCCGTTTTCATGCTCAATCTTTTTACAAAAATCCACAGTAACCACTGCTCAGAAAAGGGCTGGGAGCCCAGGTAAGCCATAAATAACCAAGCTATTTCAGATTGTCTCAGTCTGTCTTTGCCACTTCTCTCCTGGCACAGATTCTGCTTTTTACAGAAGAAAATAAGTGACTTGCCTTCACTCATTCAGCCAGCAAAAAAAGGACAGTAGTTAACCCTGATTGTCAACTGATAAATACCCAGTGGACCGTTCTTCACTTCCTTATGCATTTTGTATGCCTGCTGTCTCTTGTGTCTCAATGAGAGAGGGTTTTTTTTTTGGTATATTCCAAGCATAACTTTCATGAATTGGCAAGTTTAGATCTTTAAACTGACAGTATAAGTTCTACTTAACAGGAGTTTTTAATGGTTCTCTAAAGTGAAAAGGTGAAAACCATTCTCTTCTCTCTCTGTAGATATTGGTCTATGAAAATGAATTTGACAAAAGATTCTTTGTGCCTGCTGAAAAAATTGGGTTCAGCTTTATAGTCCTCAATATTCTGGATGATTCTGAAGTTTCTCAGAAGGATCTAAATCTAACAGAAAAAAACTCTGATGTATCTGACCCTAATGATTCTGAGCCCAGCAAGGACCCAGAGCCCCAGCAGGAGGAAGATGAGGTGAAACACTTCGGGTATGCTTCACATCTGATGGAAATTTCTTGTGACTCAGGGGAAAACACAAATGGTGCTTCTCTAACCCACCAAGAGTCATTCCTCCAAGCAAGAGCCACAGATGAAACAGTCATAGAATATGAATATAATGTAAAAATTGCTGACATTTCTATGGGGCCTGGAAACCAAGAACTGAATTTACAGGAGGAGGTATGCATGCAAGGAAACTTATTTGAGCAGCAGGCACCTTTGGCAAACTTGGCCCAGCAGACCGTATTGTACCCATATGCTGCCCAGCTCAGAGTCTTAGATCACCTGACACAGGAGCTCCCAGACCAGGAGGGACCTGAGGAAGAGCCATCAACAACACTGGTGGATTGGGACCCTCAGACCGGCCGGCTGTGTATTCCGTCATTATCCGACTTTGAACATGACTCAGAGAGCTATGGAAGTTCTGAGTGTGGTGGGGGTACGGATGAGAGCCTCTTGTTCAGTCTCTATGAGGAGCAGGCTCCAGACAAGCTACTGGAAGAAAATGAAACCTACCTCATGCAGTTTCTGAAGGAATGGGAATTATTTGTACAAATGGAAGGCTAATGCCAAAACTTCCTTTTGCCAGATCCTTACTGTTACAGAGCATGTGAGTACAAAGAAATAAGTTACAGAATAATAAAGCACTTGGCATAAAGGACACTAACTCGCATTTTCTTGCTGTGGTGCTGTAGGATAAGCACTGGACTGCAAACCACAAGGTGGGCAGTTCAAACCCACCACCTGCTCCTTGGAAACCTTATACAGGGTCACTATGAGTTGGAACCGGCTGGACAGCACTTAACAACAACACTCAGATTTTCTAGTGTCAGTGAGAATGACTTATTTCTTCCCTGTATTTGGTTCTGCCTCATATATGTAGTTGGTTCATGCATGTGGGTCTCTTAACAATAATGGTAGCTAACTCATTATACAGAATAAAAACCCAAAACCTATTGCCATCGATTCTTGACGACCCTATACGGGTTTCCATGAATGTAAACCTTTACAGGAGCAGACAACCTCTTCTTTCTCCCATAGAGTAGCCACTGGGTTTGAACTGATGACCTTGTGGTTACTAGCCCAACCCCTGATTCACAGTACTACTAGAGCTTGTTGTTGTTGTTGTTAAGTGCCGTGAAATCGGGTCCGACCCATAGCGACCCTGTATAGGGTTTCCAAGGAGCAGGTGGTAAGCTTGAACTGCCGACCTTGCAACGACTTCAAACGGCTTTGCAGTCTGGCACATTAACCCACAGCGCCACACCAGGCCTTATTAAGCATTCAATAAATGTTGGTCCAATTGGATGCAAAACTTTGCTAAAATGGTTTTACTATGTTGCTGTTAAGTGCTGTTGAGTCAGTTCCATACCATAGAGACCCTGCATAGGGTTTCCAAGGAGCAGCTGGTAAGCCTGAACCACAGATCTTGTGGTTCAAACTAAATTTGCAGTCCAGCACATTAGCTCACAGTGCCACAACAGGACTTTGGTTTTACTTTAGGCTCCTTGTATATTTTCTGGACATTTGTCACATTAGAACAAAGGCTTCTGAATCTACTTCTGAAAAACCCTATGGATTGTTGTCCCACCCTGAAACATCTGGGGCTGCTATTAGTCAGTCCTGATTTGACCGCCGCTGACTTGGTTGATTTTTGACTCTGTGTATAGCGGTACAAGCACTGATGTAGTGCTGTAGGGTAAGCACTGTACTACTAACAGCAAGGTTGGCAGTACAAACCTACAAGTCACTCTTGAAAATCCTATACAGGGTGGCTGTGAGTTGGAACTGACTTGATGGCACCCGAGAACAACAAATAGTACTACAGCAGTTTGGGCAAACTTGAGTTTACAGACACTATTGTATTCATAGACTCCTGAGCTTCCTGGATAAATGCCAGCAACTATTCTATCCTTTTATTCACCATTAGCTTAAAAATGAAATCCCACCATCACATTGCATTAAAATGTGATTGAATCTGTTAGATGAACCATATGAAATTGTTGCTATTTGACCATTTTTGATCTTCCAAAACAGCAATTTTATGAGCTTTATCATATATGTTTGTTTTAATCATGAACTCATTGGTGTTTCTACAGGAAAGCAGGTGGCATTCCTATTTCCTTATTTATGTTTTTGGTGGAGGCAGACAACTCTGACAGGAGAGATGAACTCTGGAGTCATGGGCTTTTGAGATTGTCCACAAATCCAAACAGTTTCTGTTATAATGGTTTGGTTTGGAGTATAATTACATTAATCAAAGTGTTCTGTTCTTCTCAATCCTTGTAGTAATGATTCTGCCTATTTTGAAGAACAAATCTGTAACACAAAAAATAACCAGTTCAGTAATAGGAGAGAATGAGTTACATGGGACAAAAAAAGAAAAATAACTGATGATAGTTAATTCATTCATTTCCATTACCAAATAACTGACACTTAGTGAACATCTACTGAGTCCTTCAGTTTCTTTATCTGTGAAATAGAGGTCCTTGTGAGTGTGACCTGCTTCCACTCTAGAAATGGTGGTTTCTGGCGTAGCTCGCAATCTAGACCCTGTACTTCTCTTACTACCTGACCTCTAGTTCCTGGAACATAAGCTTGCAGAAGTCTCCAGTCTGTATTTACTTACAGATATTTGATTGGTCAACCCCCACAATCCCATGAGCCAACAGAGGTTTCCAGCCTGCCCTCTGGCCTATAGATTTAGGACACGCTAGCCTCACAGTTGTGTGAGCCATTTCCACTACGTAAATCCCTCTCTAGTTCTAGATACATGTCTCATTGACTTTGTTCCTCTAAAGAACCTGGACTAAAACACACTTATTCATGGCTTTATCGGGGGCTTTATTTCACATAAACCTTGAACAGCTGTGTAAATGAAAATGCCACCTCTATAAAGTGAATCCACCACTCATCTTTCAGTTTGTTGTCATGTTTGGTAAGGTCAGAGAAAAAGAGGACCCCCAATGAGATGGGCTGGTCAAGTGGCAGCATCGATGGACCCAAGTGTGACAACAGTAGTGAGGCTGGCCCAGGATTGGGCAGTGTTTCGTTCTGCTGTGCATAGGGTCACTTATGAGTTGGCACTGACTTGATGGCACCTAACGAAAACAACAACGAATAAAGTGAATGAATCCTAGTGTGGCACTGTAGGATAAGTACTTGAATGCAAGGTTGGTTTGAACTGAAAGGTAGGTGGTTCAAACTCACCAGCCGCTCCTTGGAAACCCTTTTCAGGGTCACTATGGGTCGGAACTGACTGGATGGTACTTAACAGCAACCCCATAAAGTGAGTAAAGCCCAGTGCTACATCTTGTCTATTAAAGAGGGTAAAAAGGGGTGCTTGTCCCCTCATCCTACACATGAAAAAGATCTGCTGCCCCAAGGCTGAGCTCAACTCAAAATCAATGCAGAGAACTTGGACATTGGCTACCCAAAATGGGGGGGGGGGGTTTCCTAAAAAGGCAAGAAATGTCTGGCGTGGAGGAAGGTAGAAGCTCCACTAAGTAGTATCCAATCTGTCTGGGAGGGGCTGATGAAAGGAGATGGGGATAGGTCTCTTGTGGTACAATAGTGAGTAATTGTTATCTGGACTGACTGTGAGGGTTGGAAATGTAAAGGTAGACGTTTTGTAGCAAAAGGAGGGGAGTGATTGACTTTGCAGTCCAGAAACGGAGGTCCCTAGGACCATCAAAGGAGAAGAGCGGCATGCGGGACCCTACCCAGAGAAGCAGTGACACCAAATATGGAGGCAGAGACGATGACATGGAGAGATGGAGCAGCTAGGGACTTGAGACCTAGAGATGGAGAGTGGCTGTGTGCTGACCACCAGGGGGGCAGGCTTGCGGGCTGTACCCTTTGGTTTTTTGAAGATGCATGGAGGGGATTATAACCATGGCAATGTAATGATATAAAATAGGATGAATGTAAAGCTAATGTTCTCCCATGTAAACTACCAAATAATTCACAATAGAGAAAAACTCAGCACAGCTCATAGTGCAGCCTGGTCAGTCTAATAGAACATTAACCAGAAGACTTGCTCATTGTGGGGGGGCACAACACCTAGATCATCAATCACATCTGTTCTGGTCCACACATCACTGTGACTATGCCTTGCAGATGAATTTCTGCTAACTTCTTTTGGAAGAACTGTGTGTTTCTGCAATAATGTTTCCCCACATTTTACCATCCATATATTTTCTATCTATAGGAGCCCTGGTGTGGCACTGTGTGATAATGCACTGGACCATGATGTCGAGTTGAACCACAAGGTTGGTGGTTCAAATTCACTAGTCCCTTCTTGGAAACCCTATGCAGGGTCACTTTGGGTTAGAATTGACTCAAAGGCACTTAACAACATTTCTGTCTATAGTTTCCTCAAAAGCTATGCTCAAAAGTACATGTCTGTAATGTTTCAATAAAGAATGCTATGGCTAGTTGGAGTCCTGGTGTGGCGCTGTAGGATCAGCACTGAATTGTTAACCACAAGGTCGGCAGTTCAACCCCACCAATCACTCCTCGGAAACTCTATGCAGAGTTGTTATGAGTCAGAATCAACTCAACTGCACTTGACAATAACAACATGGCTAGTAGCTTTTATTTTTCTATTACAGCAATTATGTGTAGGATAGACAATAGATCAAATTATCATTGTAGAGTGTTGGTAAGTGCCATGGAGTCGGTTCCTATTCATAGCGACCCTGTACAGGGTTTCCGTGGCTGCAAATCTTTACCAGAGCAGAAAGCCTCATCTTTCTCCCACGGAACAGCTGGTAGTTTTGAACTGCCGACCTTGAGGCTAGCAGCCCGATTCGTAACCACTATGTTATCAGAGTAACTAGAACTCAATGAAAAAATAAATTACTTGCACTTCTCTTCCACAGGAGTCTCTAGGTGGTGTGCATTTTCAGAGGTCGGCTACTAACAAGATTGGTGGTACCTCAGGAGAAATCACCCTATGGTGCACAATTCTACTTTGACATACATGGGGTTGCCATGGCAACTAGTTTGGTCAGTGTAGTAAGAAAACTTAATTCAGTTAAGAAAATTGAATCCCCAAAGTCCCCGGTGGAGTCATGGTGTGGTTTTGTAGAATAAGCACAAGACAGTAAGGTCAGTTTGAATCTCAAGGTTGGCGGTTCAAAGGCAGCCACTCCTCAGAAACCATAATCAGAGTTGCTATGAGTCAGAACCAACTTAACAGCACTTAACAACGGAAGTCCCTTAGTGTTATTCTCATAAGTCTTCATAGTCAGTGTAAGCTTTGTAGCATTGATCAATGCGCCTGGAATTATGAGGGCAAGTCTGCATGTGCTCTTGGAAGTCAGAACAAGGACACAGTATTTACGGTCCTATTCTGTTTACAGACCTGTTTTCTTTCCAAAATTTGGACTGACTCCAAAAAAATCTGAATAGGAAAGAGCTGTGGACAAATTGGCTCATGGGATTTTTATGGTAAAGGGTCTGAGCTTCACAGCCCAGCCTGGGGGAAGGGTGCCATTATTCAGAAAGGAAATACCTGAGCTCTGGCAGAAATCAGTCTGCATCACACATGCTTCTGGAATGTA